GGTTTTCATGCACCGTGCCCCTTTGCCGTAAAGTCTCCTGGCGCATGGTTGTTCTGCATTGCGCTACCTGTCCCAGATTCCAAACTCGTTCGCACCCAGCGAGTGCAACTCCAACGGGCCCGCCAGATGTTCCACATGCCAGCGGGCGCCGCGTTCTGTGAAGATCCAGGCCTGTGTTCGTGCTCTGTGTTGTTCAAGCGAGCACGACTGCGCGCGGGCGAAAGGCGGAAGGAAGATGAGGAAAACAAGGTGGAAAGTGCCACGCCCGCCGCGCTTTCCGACCCTGGCGTGCGTAGCGCCCCCACCCCGTGCGCGCCATGTGCGGCGCGGGGAAGGTGGTGCGCTTGCCACGCTTTCCGACCCTGGCCCGCGTGGCGCCCCCACGCCGCGCGCACCCGTTGCGGTGTGGAGAATATTCCGCGCCCGCCGCGCTGTCCTACCCTAGCGCGCATAGCCGTCCCACCCCTTGCGCACCCCGTGCGGTGTGGAGAATGTGTCGCGCCTGCTGCGGTTTCCGACCCTGGCGCGCATAGAACCCCCGTGCCCTGCGCACCCCCTGCGGTGTGGACAATGTGCCACGACGGCGGCGCTTTCCGACCCCGTCGCGCATGGTGCGCTACGCCTGCCGTGCTTTCCGACCCTGGCGCGCATGGCGCCCCCGGTCCGCGCGCACCCCTGTGCGGCGTGGAGTATGCGCCGCGCCTGCCCGCTTCACGACCTTGTCGCGCATGGCGCCCCCGCACCCTGCGCGCCCCCTTTGGCGTTGAGTATGTACTGCTCCTGCCGAGCTGTACGACCCTGGCGCGCATGGCGCCCCCGTTCTGTGCGCACCCCCAGTGGCATTGCGAATGTGCTGCGCCTGCTGCGTTGTACGACCCTGGCGCGCGTGGCTCCCCCGCGCTCTGCGCGCCCCCTGCGGTTTGGAGAATGTGACGCGCCTGCCATGCTGTCCGACCCTGGCGCTCATGGCGCCGTCACCCCGTTGGGCGCCCCCGCGTGGCGTAGGGAGCGTGCCACGCCTGCCCACTTCCCGACCCTGGCGCGCGTGGCGCCCCCGCGCCTTGCGCACTCTCTGTGGTGTCGAGGAAATGCCACGCTTGTCGCGCTCTCCGACCCTGTCGCGCATAGCGCCCCCGCCCCTTGCGCACCCCCTGTGGTGTGGAGGATGTGCCACGCTTGCCGCGCTGTCCGACCCTGGCGCGCGTGGCGCCCTCAACCTTGCGCACCCACTGGTGTGGAGGACGCACTGCGCCTGCCACGCTCGTCGACCCTGGCGTGCGTTGCGCCCTTGCCCCCCTGCGCACCTCCTGCGGTGTGGAGAACGTGCCACGCTTGCCGCGCTGTCGGACCCTGATGCGTAGATCGCCCACATCCCTTGCGCCCCCCCCCCTGTGGTGTGGAGAGTGTGCCACGACCGCCGCGCTTTCCGACCCTGGGGTGCATAGCGCCCCCCTCCCCTTGCGCGCCCCCTGCGGCGTGGAGGATGTTCCGCGCTTGCCGTGCTGTCCGGCCGGCCCTGCCTTCGCACCCCCCTGGGGTGTTGAGAGTGCGCCACGAGTGCAACGCTCTCTGGCCCTGGCGCGCAGAAAGCGCTCACGCCCTACGCATCCCCTGTGGTGTCAAGGCAGGGCCCCGCTTGCCGACCCTGTCAGTCATAGCGCCCCCATTTCCTGTGCACCCCTTGTGGTGTCGAGGTGTCATGCTTGCCGCGCCTTTTATGGAAAATGCCATGCTTGCCACGTCACACGAGTCCTACGCGTATGGCTTGTGTCGGGCGCGTGTCATGTGAGTGACTAAGCATGCGTGGTGCGAATCCTATGCGCGCGTGTTGTGTCGTTCGCGTGTCATGTGATAGACTGGAGATGCGTCTCTGTCTCTCTGTATGTGCATGATGTGTATGTGTGTGTAGCTGTATGCTGACGTGCTGTATGATGTGCGTGTGACCGTGCATGTGAACAATCTACATGGCTGTACATGTGTATATGTATGATGTGTGTACGTGTGGTTCGTGCGAGTGTGCGTATGTCTGGTATATATGTGTGTGTATGAACAGGGAGGGGGAGGAAATGGGGAGGAGAGGGCGTGGGTGGACGGCGCGGGTGCGACGCGGGTGGGGGGAACACAGGGTCCGTCTGAAACGTATGTGTGCGTGTGTGTTTCACGTGGTGAGATGGGTAAGGATCTGCGCAGGGGGAAGAGGTGAAGAGGAACGCGGGTGCGACGCGGGCGGGAGAGACAACAAGAGCACCACTTAGCATGTAAACAAATGTGAACGCATGTTGGGCGCACTGTGTCTAGCCTGAACAAGTACGGCCCGCCCCCGATGTGGCACCGGGGGGCCCCCTGGGGCCCCAGAGGCCACGTGGGTGCGCGACGCGCACAGATAGAATTTGCTTCTGCTCTGGCCTCTGGCCCTCCTCCCATATCCCCCCCTCCTCCAGGACTTCAGACCTCCCTCCTCCCCATGCCCTATTCCCTTCCTCCCTTCCCCCCTCCCTTTTCTTCCTCTACGAGGAGGAGGAGGAGGAGGAGGAGGAGGAGGAGGAGGAGGAGGAGGAGGAGGAGGAGGAGGAGGAGGAGGAGCAGGAGGAGGCCAGGCATGGCGCGGAGGTTGAGGGGGTGTCCGGGGAGGAGGTGAGGGACGAGGCGGAGGCAGGGTCCCAGGGCGCTCGTCGGGCTGACCGCCCGTCATCGGGGCTTCCTCTGGGGCGTCGGGGGGTCGAAATCTCTACGTTTCCCGACCTGGATCCTGCAGTTCAGGAGCAGGGTTGAGGTGGGGGGAATATACACCACCACCACCTCCCTCCTCCCTCCCTCTCGCCGGACAGAGGAGAGAGAAGGAGCCGATGCGGTGGTGGTGTATATTCGTTGGGTCCCCATAAGGGTGCCCGAATGCTCCAGGACCCCTTGTTATCTTGGCCCGACAAGCCATCCCTGATCTGGTACGGGGGTTTTGGGGGAAGGTTTTGAGGCTTCAGGGCTGGTCCGGGGACGGATTCTAGGAGGGTCCCAGCAGGGATCCAGGAGGGTGCGAGCAGGGTACCAGAAGGGTCCCAGCAGGTACCAGGAGAAGCCCAGGAGGGTCCCAGGAGGGTCTTTAGGAGGGTCCCAGGAGGGCTCCGGGAGGGTTCGTTGTGGCCGATTCTAGGTCGCTGCCCTGAGGTCTCCTTCAGCTGCTCGGCGCAGTTCCGCATGCGGCACCCCTCCCCTGTACAGCGCTTCGTGGCCCCATAGGGATCTCCACCGACGGCCCCAGTGGCGGTGTCCGCATGTCTTTCCCCCATCCGGTGCAGCCCCATCGCGAGCTCCACCGTACGCCCCCGTGGCGGTGTCCGCACGTGTTTCCCCGGGGTCGCCCAGGGGGTCCGGGAACGGGGGTGGAGGGGTGCTGTTGTTTTTCCTTCAGTGTAGGGCTGGACCTAAACGATGTTCTGCTAAACTTCGGCGGTGTTTTGTTTTTCGTTTTGGGGGGAGGTGCAGGAAAACAAGTAGAGCAAAACGGAAACCAACATGAAAACAAAACGAACAACAGCGTTTAGGTGCAGCCCTGCCTCCGTGTGTGAGCGCATGTTGGCTCGTGCCGAAAGCGTGAGCGATCGCTGGGCTCGCTGCGCTGGTGGCCCAGTTGCCCTCCGCGCAGGAAAAGCGAGCTCAGCACAAGCAGCATGCGTGAGGGCCCGACGCACACTCTCTAGGCCTGCACGTCGTCGTGGGCGATGCATCGCCCACGTCGACGATGCATCGCCCGTGCATCGGCGATGCATCGGCGATGCATCGCCGATGTATCGGCGATGCGGCGCGATCCCCCGACCCCATCTAATTCCGACCCCATCTGGGAGTACGCTCACGCCGAGCGTTGCAAGCGCGGTGGCGGATATTGGGTGGTTCGTGATCGAGGCGCCGGCTGTGCCAGTCTGCCTGCGGCGCGCCTGCAACCGCTGTCGGCCGGGGGCCCCGTGAGATGATCGTGCAAGCTGAGAGTGCAAGTCTGATTCGTGCGCGCGGATTCCCATCACACTGTTTGTTTCGCGATTCGCTCTCGTGCTGTTCGGGCCTCTGGAGGCCCTCGCCGGGCCAGTCACCGTTAATCCGAGCCTTGGTTCACAGGCGATGTTTCTATCCCCCCCCGGTTTTTCGACGAAAAATGATGCGGCTAAGAGAAGGAGGGGAACCCTGGGATACACCCCGGGCTGCTATGCGGACGCACCCCTATCGGGGTTGGACGCCGCCCTCCTCGTACATCCCAGGGTTGCGTACCAAACCTTCGGTCCATTCGAAAATCTTCCAAAGTCTGGGATAGGGGTTGACATATCCCCTGTTATTGGTTCGATGTTGCCCGATCCAGGCAACGGTCTTGCTTGAGCGCTCCTGGTCCCTGCGCCGCCTCTGGTGGAGTGTGTCTCGGGTGCGTGCCGACACGGGGCTGGTTCTCGTAGCTATGGGCTGACACATGCCAAGAAACACCCTGCTTGCCTCCAGGGTCGGGAGCCTTGAGACGGGGGTCAATGCAAACGGGAGTCAGCCAGAGCGCGGGATCTTGCAGGATCCTGCAGGGCCAGGGTCGCATTGACCCGGGTTTGGGTGCAGGATCCTGCAGGATCCTTCGCACTGACCCGGGTTTGGGTGCAGGATCTCGCAGGATCCTGCAAGGCCTGACTGACCAGGGTCCGGATTGACCTGGGTCAGAAGATCCCCGACAGGGTGCCCTGGGTTTCTTGGATTCCGATGGTTTTGCTACGGGAAGCGTGACGCTCCCACACCAAAAATCAATGGACGTCCTGGGGTCTCAGGTTTGGGTTTCTTGTGGAAGGTTTCTTGTGTTGTGGACTGGCCTCCACTGTAGCGGTCTTCCAATGGAGACCCGAGGCCCCGAAAGAGGTATCTCTTTCTTTCTCTCAGTCAATCTCTCGACTTCTCAGGTGACCCTCTCTGCCCCCCAGTCGAGCGCTCTCCTCTCGCACTTGGGTTTTTTCAGAGGGTTTTTTTGTGCAGCGTAACAGCGTGAGGTGTTGAGGGGCCTCTACAAGACGGATGGCAGCGACCTGTGGGACGGTGGCGCTGGCGGCGAGGAGGAGCCAGGCACGCCGAAGACCGAGCGTCTGACGCAAGGCTTGAAGGGAGCGCCAACTGGCATGGGCGCACGACCTTCGGACCTCCCCTCCTCCTTCCTGCCCGCGAACTCATGATATTTTTCCACTTCAGCGAAACTTTCGTCCCCACGGCTGGGCTCGAGTCGAGGGGCTGGTCAGATCGTGTTGGGGGGGTCCCCCGGGATGCCTCTCGGGGGGCCTGGCGATCCTGTGGCCATTCCCGGGAGGGTGGTCGGGCTCTTGCAGTCTCTTCGTTTTCGCCCTCGTGGTCACCTCGGGGAGCCGTCTTCTGGACCCCTCGGGCCATCTTGAGACACGCTTGACGTGTAGGTCCCCAACCTCGCTTCCGAGGCCTCGGGGAAACTTGCGCGGCGAACCTTAGGACCCCCTGAGAGCACACAGACAACATTAACAATGGCGGTCCGGGAGAGTCTCGAAGACGCTGGACGAGTACCGCACCTCTCATTCGGGCTTACCAGAACCAGACTGGAGTATTTGCATTCTCTGAAGTATTCTTCACGCTTCGGGTATCTCCACCAGCCCGTTCAGACACGTTGCCCAGGGAGCTGACGGGACAAGAGACGAAGAGTCACATGTAGTGGAACACAGCTGGCAGCCAGGCTTAGCAGAGAGATCTTTGGGAGTAATTATCTGAGTCGTCTTGGAGGGCCTCTTCGGGACATCCCTGGGGCCCGCGGTGGGGGCGAGGGAATGATGATGATGCTGATGCTGATGATGATGCTGATGATGCTGATGATGATGATGATGCTGATGATGATGAAGCAGATGATTTTGATGATGTTGATACTGATGATGGTAAGGATGATCATGATGCTGATGAGGATCAGGATAACGAGGATGATGCTGAGTATGCTGATGATGCTGCTGCTATGATGATGGTGATGTCTATGATGACACTTTTGATGATGATGCTGATGCTTGTGATGTCCTTGTTTATGTTGATGTTGTTGATTATCATGATGGTGATGACGATGATGATAATGATGCTACGGATGCTGATGATGCTGATGATGAGGAGGCTGATGCTGATGATGATACTGATGATGCTGCTGCTGATGATGATGCTACTGATGATGATAATGATGATGGTTGTGCTGATTATAATGATGCTGCTAATGCTGATGATCGTGATTATGATGCGTATGATGCTGATGATGCTGATGATGCTGATGCTGATGATGCTGATTATGATGATGATGATGATGATGAGGATTAGGGTAACAAGGATGATGCTGGTTATCATGGTTCTACTACTATGATGATGATGTCTATGATGGTACTGATGATGATGCTGATTATGCTGCTGATGCTGGTGATGTTGATGTTGATAGTGTTGATGATGATGACGATGTTTA